ATGGAGTACCGAGGCTGGTGGATGGAGAAGATTATCGTTTTTCCTTGTTTTGACATCCTGAATGTGAAGAACAACACGGGTGTTAGCTTTACAAGTCAATTCAGCCTTTAGATAAAAGAATTCAAAAGTTCAGTTAAGCCTTGGTGAAGTTTGATTAACTTGTCATGCCAGAGAGGGGAGGAAGAAGGAAAAAAAAAAGACAAAGAAAATATTCAAATCATATTTATAGTGTCCATCTGTGAAAAGAATTCTCACTTTGGAGGGAGAGAATTCATACAGCCTTTTTCCTACTCCCTTTGCAGACTTGGCTCACTGGTAAACAATTACATGTCTGATTTCCCTATTTCCTCATTCTAACTGTAATTTAAGTAAAATAAGACTCAAGTGTAGCAGAGAGGAGTGTTGAAAACAGGAGGCTGTTTCCTGGGCCATCACCTTTTCAGCAGCAGTAGAACAGCATTAGCAGTGCTGGCATCAAGTCCAGTAGTTGGCTCATCCAAAAACAAGACAGCAGGATCTGTGATGAGCTCCATCCCAATATTGGTCCTTTTCCGCTCTCCTCCAGACACCCCACGAGTGAACTGGGTGCCAACCTGCCACAAAACAAGAAACTTGTCTCATTTGGCCTGATGAAAAATCCTTGAGTGAACAGTATCCTACCCACACAGCACTATTTGGGAAGAGTTGTAAGAAATTTTGGCCCTACTCTCTGGAATAGATGTAAATGTTATCTCACACATAGGCTATTTATTAATGTTAGTACTACTTGAGGTGTTCTCTTTTTCTCCAAACACGGACTACCTTTCCCTTTCCCTGCAATGTAGTAGCACAGGGCAGCATCAGTGCAGTCTGTACAGATCCCCACAGAGAAATGTTATTAATAATTGTATTACTGAAACACATTGTTGAAATTAGCCTTTTTTTAATCTGCCATGTTGAGCCATTTGGCTCATTAAATAAATCACTTAATATTTACTCATGGTTTAAGCACCATATTTACATGCCTTACCTTGGAATCTGCCACTTTGCTCAAACCCAGTTCCTTGATAATCTGATTCACTCGTTCTTTTTTTTCCTGTTCCTTCACTGACTTTGGCAAGCGAAGTGCTGCTGAGAACGTCAGATTTTCTCTTACAGTCAGGGTTCCCATCACCACATCATCCTTCATTAAAAAAAAAAAAAAAAGATACTTGGAGGTTGCTTAGAAATTTCTATTTGTTCCTCCAAGAACTGCATTTATCTATGTTTTGTGCTGTTCTTACATGCAGAGGGACAGTAGCAATGGCCAGAGCATGTGATAAGGTGCATCTTCAATGCCTGCATCATAGCAGTGTTGATTCCATGCACATAATTGTATTTGACTCAATTCATAAAGCAACGTAATATAGGAACATCCTTCATCATGCATGATATCAAAATCCATAACAGTAAAGTAATTAAAAACTATCCCTTTTGTCTTCTTACCTTATGCAGTTTTTTGGAGGTGTTGAGAGAGAGACTGAAGGGCTGAAGGGACCTAAGGAGCAGCTACGTCTCAGGTCATTATCAGAGTGTGTTTGTTAAGGCAGCCCCAGCCTACCAGGGGAGCAGGGAGAAAAGAAGGAAGGAAAACAGAGGTTGTGTCCATGTGGGTGAAGATGAAGGGTGAAGGTGTTCCAAACTTGTTTCAGCAAAGGAGGAAGGAGGGTAGGTTTTTTAGATATTATCTGCTTGTCTCTTGCAAAGGGAATCTGTTAGATTTGGGAGTTCAGAGTGATGTGTGTTTTGAGATACCCCCTTTCTGTAACATGCTGACCATGCTTTTACAATTTTCATATACGCACCTCTTCAGGCCTTGATAGATTTGCAAGCCCGCTGCTAAGCACGAGGAGTGGGGAGAGGAAAGAAATGAAAAATGTGGTTTTCCTTCTTTTGTCCATCTTCCCAGCCCACCCTGGCAGAACAAAGGTTTTCTTAGAATGGGAGTTAGTGACATTGTCACTGGGCAAGTGGAGGAGCCAGGTGCATATTACCAGAAAACATCATACTTGGAAAATACTCCATGCATATTGATGGCCTACAGCTGTTTCCCCAAATGGAGAACAAGAAGGGATCCAGATCCAAAGCATCTGCTCCCGCAGGCTGTAAAGCATTAATGAAAGCAACTCAAACACAAAGCACAGTATTTTTCCCAGCAAGGGTAGATGTGTGGAGAGTTGTTACAGCAACAGCCCTGCTTCTTGGATCATGGCAAAGTACTTGGAACACAGTAGCAACTTTTCACAATAGAATCCATACTGTGATAAAAATTGCCTACCTGTACTACGTACCCAGAGGTACATTTAAAGTTGGCAGGCTGAGGAGCTCCATTGATCAAAATGTCACCAGAAAGCCCATGGGGATCCTTCCTTGCAGCCAAAATGTCAAGTAGCCTAGAGGAAAAGTTAGTTACTTTGTCAGGTGAGCATGCAGGAGGTAAAGATCTCTGAATCACAAGCCCAGTTCATGGAACAAACAGCTACATGAAAGCATACCACGTTAAACATCTGCAATTTAGAAAATCCCCAGCAACTCTGAAGGACTGAGTTTCTTTTGTCCTGGTTTCCTAAGGAAATGTGATCTGTGCAATTTTATGTCCATTTTTTCAAGAAATTGAGCTTTGCTTAGAATGATGCATAAAGATCGTGTTATCAGCAAAGTCTGGACTAAAGCTGAATTTCATCTTTGTCATATAACCTGTCTTTTTTGAATTCAAGTATTTCTCAGAAACAGGTGAGATTTGCACAGACCTAAAATAAAAGCACGATCTTTCTCTGAAAGTATTGTCCATTACTGCTAAATATGTGCAGTTTCGTTTTCTCTTTGGTGTAATCTCTGTGTAGGACAAAGGGGGCACTTACGAAGATTTACCACTGCCAGTGGGTCCCAAAATTGCATTCAGTCCAGGTCTCATGATGCCACTGTAAGACAAAACAGATTTACGAAATAAATAGAGTGCATTTATCTCTTTTACTGTTTCAACTACTAGGCTGTGTAACTTATCTGTACAACTACCTTCAGCATCCCACTAATTTTGGAATTAATGAAGCTGCCTGATCACTAGCAAGATTTATGATCAGTCAAACTCCACTTTAATTTTTATTCCTAATTCAAGAAGAACTAGTCTTCATATAATGAAGACAATACAGAAACATGAGTAAAATGTAAAAAAATCTGTACATATATTTTTACCCCATGGATCTCCACAAGTGAAGCACACACTTGCTTTAACCATATTCAGTTCTAAAGGTATTATTCCCTTTAACAGAGAGAATAATGGTCCCTGTAGACAGAACATACTAGGGATTTGTCTTTACTTAAACTGCAGTTGACAGTTTCTCTGTATCTGACATTAAGCTACATGAAACTCAAAAGCCAGACAGAAAATGTTCCAAATGACCAGTGTCAGTCAACTGAGTTACCACAACATATGGCTCTTGAGGAACTTAGGAAAGACTTTAAGAGCTCATGTTTAGGAGATGAGGAAATTGCATGGACAAAGAGAAGAATAGACAGAGCTACACAAAACAGTGAATATTTATGATAGAAATTGAAGTTAGGGAGCTGAAAGTCACAGGTGAGTTGGAATGGCATATTGTATAAGCACTTGCCACTTAGTTTAACTACTGAACTGTGAATGGACAAACTTTATGCATCGATTATTGAACAAAGGCCATAATGACACAATTCCTTTACTACAGTAGTGCTCAATGTTGGGGGAAAAAAAACCAAACCCAAAAAAAAACCCAGCAAAAAACCAGAAAACTTTACATCTCTCTAAAATTAACATAACCCTTGCTTATATTACTGTCTTACACATTATAAGTTAAACTCCCCAAGATTAACCTTTCCAAAGGAGACACCACCATCGAGGACAGGCTGTTGGTATCTCGGTTAAACACTACAGCCCAGTGGGAGAACTGCCAAATACTGCAGAATGATCAGAGCTGGCTGGTGTGGCCCTGTGCTGATAGTAGCCAGGAGGGCTGTACCCCTAGGGCCCAAGGAAATGATGCCCAGCAGCATGAACTTTCTGATGTACAGGCTCAGCACTAGAGACTGAGGACCACTGGAGCCTAGCAGGAAGCTTAAGCACAACTGATAGCAACCACGAATATATAATTTTTCTAAATCTTGGTCAAATATTGTATATTGTGCTTAATGGCTCAGTGATGTGAATGGACTCAGCTGTCCAGACAGAAATAAAACATACACGTACTCTAAAAAGATATTAAAATACATACTTGACATCTCTCAAAACTTCTTTAGTGGTTGTTTTTCGACAGCACAGGAACCCAGTCTTCATCTTCACACGGTAGCAGATGTTATGGAAAGTGAGCACGCTCCCTGCCCTGCCAGCTAAGTCTGGCGAGGACGGCCTTCTGCTGGGGATGCCATTTGTACTCGAGTCTGACATCTGAATGCACAGGTGCGGCTGGTCTTCTGCCATGCTTCCTCTGGAAATGGAAAAACAGGTAGGGTAAGATTTGATTAGGTATGGAGAGGAAAGATGCGTCCTTTGGGTCTACTGTTCGACACTGAACCTATGGTGGGCCTTGCAGATGCCCATCTAGATCTCTCTCTTTTGGATAACAGTTTGGGTCCTGTGGGGTCAGACCTTGATATGACATGGAGCTGACGAGGAGCTGGGTCTGCCCTATTGCTTCACACCTCATGTGGTGTTAGGGTGGTAGAACAGTCTCCCTCCATCCTGATGGTCTGTTGTGGTGGCTTGACCTTGCCTGGCCACCAGATGCCCACCCAGCTGCCCTCTCAGGTGAATGTCTGCTCAGGCACCTGGACCACCCTCTCCCACTCTTTCCTCACTCTCCTTGGTGTCTGTACAGCTGTTTCTCTCGTATTTTCCAGCATCAATGACGTGCTCAGCTTTGCCAGCAGTGGGTCTGCTGGCACCAGCTGGAGGTGGCCGTGTCTGGCAAAGGGCAACCCCATGTTCTTTCTCACAGAGGCCTCCCCCTACAATACCCTCCCTGTAGCAGCACCTGGCCACAGGCACCAGCTGTCTGTTCTCTAGGTATAAGGAAGTAGGTACGTCTCACAGTGGCACTAGCACAACATTATGCCCTTTCTGGAGGGCTGCCCCTGGCAGAAAGGCCTGCACTTAAACTGCACCCTTGTTGGAAACCATGGGTACAACAGGTGACTCACCAAAAGATCTGCTCAAAATTACTGAGCTCCAAAAGGACCTGGTCTTCTACCCCTCCTCTTTTTGAATGTGCTTAGAGTCAGCCCATTAGGTACTCTTTAAAAGGGATAGTCTGAAAGTAAAGGCATACTTCCCACTTCTAGTGCTCCAGTGCAACGTTAACAAAATCTAAAAATTGGTGCGTTATTTTTTTAATCAATTTTGCCAAGGCTATAGGAACATGGGAGCTGACACTGCTGCCAAGTGATTACAAGTAATTATCTTCCTTGGATTTGATTTCCACATGAAATCTAGAAAGTAGGTGTGGGATAATTAAAGTTATCTCACCTCCCTTGTCAGCTGGGCTCCTGCCTGTGAGCCATCCATGTGCATCGTGGGGCATCCCTGGCTGTCCCCATGCATGCAGACCTTTGTCCCCTTTGTGCTTCCTAATTAGCACAGCGTCATTCAGGTGAGAGGTAGGATCTGACCTCTCTTCATATATCATGTTGACTCATCAGAGTCTAATTACTTTAATTGCCACTATAGGAAATGTTAGTAATGCACTAGTTAATGGGAATTGAGAGGGTAGATGAGCAGCTAGGAGCTCTGGAATGATCAGTCCTGTACCTCAGCATAGTTACACTGCTTACAGCAAGAAAGAAGGCAAATCATGAGACCATTTCAGACATACTGAATGAATTTGAGAGCAGTTAATAAAAAAAAAACCCAAACAGCTGTTTAATCTAACAGAGACATACGGTCACATAACAAACCAAGCCTTTATCTTGTCAGTTTGCTAAGGTTGCTTGGCAGACAGCTGAACTCAGCTGAACTCTCCTCTGTGGCTATCAACACAGAGAACCCACTGGAACCCCTATATTCAGCAGGAGGCTGATCTGCATGTAAAGGCTGGTTCATCTGTCTCCCAGTGATGCTACCGCAAATCTAGCCCAAGCTTGCCTCTTCTGAGAAAGCCACAGTCTTCTTGTGCTGGTCTTAATGTTTTAGTAACCAGTCATCTCGGCCCAGTGCAAAGAAACTGTGTTCCAAATATTATTATAATGGGACTAGCTTTAATTTAAGCTAAAATGGATTTTGAGTAAATTGAACATCAATTAAATGTGCAACAATTAAAGTCGAGAGGCCTTTTACTGCCTGCACTCTACTTGTGCCAGAGAAGACTCACCTACCTGCAGGAGGGCAGCTAATTTCATAAGGCTATTTATAGAGTAGTTTCTGGGCTAATCTGACTGGACATCAATCATTGCCATTTGAAAGGATGCTTTCTAAGGTAACTTAGATGCTTTCTAAGGTAACTTAGAGATGTGTGTTCAGAACTGCAGTGGAAACTTTTCACTTAAAGGCTCACCACGCGCTGAGCAGATGTTTGCTGAGCAAGGTGACAACCTCAGGGACAATAACACAGGTAGATATTACAAAATCCCTTAGACTGCTGGATAACCAGGCAGCACAATGAGAGTGCAGAATTCTTCAGGAAACAGTGTGACTCTGACCTTGATATATCACTGTACCTATAAGGTATCTAGATCAGTATGTTGCTTGATCACATTTTTTTCTCAGCTTTACTCATGTAATGTTATGAACAAACGGGGAAAAGTAAGGTGGAGTCTGACTTCAAGCATTATCAGTAGAATAGTTAAATTTTTCTTTGTTTCATTTGGTTTTGTTGAGGTTTTTTCTGAAGACCATCACAAAAGCCTAGCTCAGCATCTGCACTGAAATTTCAGAAATGCTTTTTAGAAAACAAACTTTTTTTTAAGAATTAAAAAAATTCAATCATCCAGACTGAACTAGACAGGCAGACAGCAAGCACAGAATCAGAAACTGTCCTCATAAATACACGATCACACTGCTTTCACAGTGTCATTCTTAAGAACAGAGAGTATGTCAAAGTCAAATTTAATTTACCAATCAAGTTATGATGAGATTGTACACATCCTTGCAAAGATACATGCAGAAGCTATACAAATAAAATACCTATGAGAAGAATAACACCTGTCCATAGCAGACAGTCCCCCAATGGCTATTTAATAAAACTGTCAGTGGGAAACTTCCAGCTGAGGAAGACCCAAGCCCACTGATTGCCCAAATCTGCCAGAGAAAAACAGTGTGTTTTGCTGTTGACCCTTGGGAAGCCATTAGCTGCTGGCAGCTCTGAGAAGAGGCTGGATTCAGGTCTTGCTGGACCTCTGGTGTAAATTTGCACAGTCTTTTGTGCCTCCAGTGTGCTTGTGCTACTTGGAGGGACAGGGTGGGGTGCTGTAAGGGGAACACCTGGGAGGTAGATTTACCAAAGTAAACCAAATCTATTTCAGATGTCAGGTTAATACTGAAAATAGCATTTTACACTTCCAGAGCTTCTAGAATTTATTGCAGAATACTCATTCTCTTAAAGCTTGAGTGGTTACTTATGCTGTGTGAAACCCTTGTCAGCCGCTCTCTTCTCAAAAGGTACATAACCATTGCAAGGTCTCCATCACAGCAGCTCCTGGGGATGGCAGAGTGAGAGAGCTCTAGACATGCTGGTGGGAAGGGGCCTGGGGAAGCCCCCTAAACCAGCTTCTCCCTCCGAGCCAGACTATCACCAACACACAATCAGATCAGCTGTGGCTTTGCCTGGGTGATTTGTGGAAACCTCTGAGTGGTGATTTGGATCTCAGCTAACAGTGTACTCGAAGAAGATGAAGCGCTAACAGCAGAAATTATGCCCATGTGCTAAAATTAGGCATTTGATTTGCTTTTATTTTTTGGAGACCTGTTTTTCTCTGTGGGGTGAGGAGTTGCAGTGACATAACCAGTTTGGTATTTTACAAACCAACCTTTCCATTTCTAATCTAGCAATAAACTTCACTAGAAGAATACAGGGGCATGCCCCTTTACAGCTGATATAACTGTCAGCTGTTTGCAATTGCTCCTTAGGAATAGAATTTTTTAAATATTGCAATTTTTAATTGTTTAAAAAATAACGCATTGTGTTTAATATGACATACAGTCATTAAATATTTTAGTCACAGGATGTGCAGGAAAAAGAAACAATCATGATGACTGTTAATCAAATCAATTTCTATGCAAACTAAAATTCTCTGAATGAAGTTTCCTAGATTTCATTGCCAATGGCTTGCAAATACTTACTTTGGATCAGAAATGAGCAGTAGATTCAATGACAATATGTACTGCCTGCTGTATTCAGAAATATTTGTTAATATGATAATGTGTTTCATATCCTTATCATATCAGCCCTGGGTATAATGCATTTTTTCATCAGCAAAAAAAAAAATTTATGAAGTCTAGGAATTTTACAAATTTCATTTCTTTTGCTGTATAGTTCTAAAATGTTTTCATATTTGCCACTGATTTCAACATAATTTCAGTTCAAGCCTAATAGAAAATACTTTTCTTCAGAGATATTTAGTCTCAGAAAATTTTGTCAGGAGACAAAGCACGGGATCTAGAGATTTAACCTTTTATTAATGGCAAAATGAAACTACTTTGTTTAAAATTACCACAAAATCTCTTGTTTTCATGCACAGAAAACGAAACTCTCAGTACAGTCACTTTCCTGTGTGTTCTTCTGAGACTTGTAAAGTACAGTCTCATTTTTCCTATTATACACAAGGGACACTAAACAAAAACATCGACCAATAACAAAATGTACTAGAAAGTTCCATTGACTTAAACCACAACAATACCATACCTGGAGTCTTTCAAACAATTCCAGTAAACCTATTTGTATGCCTTAAGATATATTGTCTATATAAAAAGCCAAGTAACATTCATTCCTGCCAGTCTGCCTGCAAAGCTTTTGGCACAGGAGTGATTTGCAGTACAAATAGGAAAAAAAAACCAATTCTAAAAACAATACTGTAGGAGGGGTACTAAAATTATGAATAGCAAAATTCAGAAGTGCATTTTTTAAAATGCAGGCAGGTATTCAAAGTATTTTATCTCTATAGAGAATAAGCATTGAAATTACTTAGAGGAAGAGTTTTAGAGACACAAGCACCTTTCAGCAGAGTTTCTAAAGCTGCCTCAAACCCTTTTTAAAAATAGTCCCTTTTCCTTTTTTCTGGATACTTGAACATGCCAGAGAAACCACACTTAAGTATGCTATTATTTCTCTCATTTTTAATGGGTACAAAGTTTAGTTTTGCACCCTGCAAGCCAAAAGATTTTGGACTTTGGATACATATAAATTCACAGAAGTTGTAATTATACCTTTTTTTCCTCTTTAATTGCATACATTTACAGGGACGTAGACTGGCCAGAGAATGGATGTGGGGATGCAAAGAGGGCAGCACAGCCTAGTACAGCCAGCCCAGGACCACAGAAGTCCTCTTTCACAGGAACACGCGTAGGAAATTAAAACCATTTGAGTAAATAAGGATAATGCGATTCAGGCAATCTGTAAGTTAATTGCCAATCGACTTACTAGGGATTTGTAACCTACCTTCCATGAAAAGAGCCCTGTGTGTTCACTGGGGACCGAGCAAGCAGCGCACTGTGCGCGCAGGCATTTGCAGGCACGCTGTCGGCAGCGCGTTAATATGTATGAGGGGACCCCGAGTATGGCAGTTCCTGCAAAATATTCTAACTTTTCACCTTTTTCCTGGTTTTAGTTTAAGCCTTGGAGCTTTCCACCACCCCCCCATCTATAAAACATATTTTCATTGATTTCTTCCCTTCTCAATTAAAATCCCCTGAAACGCTGGGAGAAGGTAGGCGAGCGTTTCACTGTGTTTTTCTTGGCTGTCGGAGGAAAACAGCTGCTGAATATAATTCCACAGCGATGGCAGCGCAAGCAATTTGTGGGCGAGGAAGCAAACCACTACACCGAACTAAATCTATCTCAATAAAAAGGCTAAACTGCTGCTACGGACTCACCAGCAGCAGGTCTGGGTCAGTGCTGCACGGCTGCTGAGAAGGCGGCAGAGGCGGTGGAAGGGACACAGGATCTAGGGAAGAGACGAGCGTGGTGTGTAGGAGCGCAGCCCCGACGGCTTGCTCAGCTGGCACAGCAGGGCAGTCCCACCCGTGTCATCATATCTGCTGCAGAACAGCTGGGATCCCCGCGCTCCGTCACCCCGGGGAGTCTCCACCCTCTCCCTGCACGCTGGGGAAGTCAGAGGGCTTTGTCGGGAGGGCAGGGCCAAGGACGAGCCTCAATTCCACCTTTCCTTCTTTTAGCCGAACAAGTCGTAAGCTGCGGCACAGCACTTCGTCGGGAGCTGGCCCAACCCACCTGTGTCGGTAGCGCTGACATTTGAATGAAGTAAAGCATCTCCACCTGCCCGAGGCTTGCAGCGGTGGCCGGGGCTGGCAGAGCTGCTAGGGTGGGATGAATGCCAGCGTGGAATGTCGGAAAAGGCTCAGCTGGCTGCGAAGCCTTCTCCCCCAGTGTCCTGTGGAAGGATACTGTGTTTTCCTTCAGTTCCAAATGCTTGCAATAGTGCAAAGGCTTTTCTGAGCCCATCAGAGCGGGGTTTTCACAGAGTATGTGTGCGTGTCATTTGTGTCATTGTGGAAGGAACCAAAGCTGAGGCAGCCTCTGTTATACAAGGTAGGGGCACTGGTCCCCAGGTGAGGCTACTGGGCAGCACAGGCCACAGCTTTCCAGGAGCTGTGCTAACATTTGGAGCAGTATCAGTGACACACCACTTCTCCCATGTGCTCCCTGACAGAGTTTTGCTTTCCAGGACAGTGGTAGCTTCTGACCCCAGTAACCCCAAAGATGAGGTTGTCCAGGCTCTGGGGAATGCTGAAGGAATTCCTTCCATGCAGTTGGCCAGTGTCCCAGGTACCATCCCACACAAGGGCTTTGCCAGTGCTTTGACAGGAGCGTGAGCTCATGCAGTCACAATCATTCTTTTTGGCAGACAATGCAGAAGAGTACAAGTTACAGATGGTTTCCAGTTAAAATCATTACTTTTATGCTCTCTTTTTCCTAGTGATACTCATCACTATTTAGTGAACACCGAGGCAGCCTGTAAAAGCTATCCTGGACAGAACACCACGAGGCCACATTTAGCTGGCTGAAGCCTCGGATAGGCAAGCATTTCATTGTTCAGGAATTATGCTCCCAGGATCTTTCCTTTGTCAATAATTTAATAATAATTAACCCTGTACTCAAAAGACTTGCATGAGACTTAAAAGCATGCCAGCAGCTAGTGAAGACCATTGCATAGTCCCAGTAGCATTTGAGAAGGTGCACATGTGACCAAACAGATGCAGAAACATTGTTATCTCATTCAGGGAGCATATCTACAGCCTGGCCCGGAAACCTCAGCAGACCATTCATAATATCAGATTTGGGCTATTCCCAGGCAACTTGGAGCAGGACTCAAAGGTATACTAAGTAAGATTGCCAACAATACTAAATTGAGAGGAGCTGTTGACTGCTTCAAAAGCAGAGAGGCCCTGCAGAAACACCTTGATAAATTAGAGGGCTGGGCAATCAGAAACTGCCTGAAGTTTAACAATGACAAGTGCCGGATTCTGCACCTTGGACAGGGCAACCCTGGATGTGCAGACAGACTGGGGAGCGAGAGGCTGGAGAGCAGCACTGTGGAAAGGGCCCTGGGGGTTCTAGTTAAGGCCGAGTTGGATATCAATCAGCAGTGCCCTGGTAGCCAGGAGAGCCAACCGTGTCCTGGGGGGCATCAGGCAAAGCATTGCCAGCTGGTCAAGGGAGGGAACTGTCCTATTCTGCTCTGCACTGGGGTGACCTCATCTCAAACATTGTGCCAGTTTTGGGTGCCACAATATAGGAAAGATATTAAGCCATTAGAGAATGTCCAAAGGAAGGCAACAAGGATGGTGAAGGGCTTAGAGGAGAAGCCGTATGAGGAACGGCTGAGGGCACTTGGTCCGTTCAGCCTGGAGAAGAGAAGACTGAGGGGAGACCTCATCAGGGTCTGCCAGTTCCTCATGAGTGGAAGCAGAGGGAGAGGCACCAATCTCTCCTCTTTTGTGACAAGTGACAGGACTCAAGGAAAGGGTATATGAAGCTATGTCATAGAAACTTTAGGTTGGATATTAGGAAATGATTCCTTACCGAGAGGGTGCTTGGGCAGTGGAACAGGGTCCCCAGGGAAGTTGTCACAACACCAAGCCTGACAGCGTTCAAGAATTGTTTGGACAATGCTCTCAGGTACGTGGGTGTGATTCTTGGAGTTGTCCTGTGCAAGGCCAGGAGCTGGACTTCAATGATCCTTATGGGTCCCTTCCAACTCAGGATATTCTGTGATTCTCTGAGTCAGAAAAAAACAAAGCTTTTGCACAGGATGCAGTGAGAGGCAGCTGTTGCTCTCAGCATTACTGGCACTCATACTGAAACAAAACAAACAACAACAAAAAAGGAGATGAAAAACTATAGTTGCTTTGTTCTCACAGATATTTACTCTACAGTTAAAACCCAATATGATTTGGGATTTTTTTAATTGTGGGCACAGGTATCCTTGAGGTCACTTCTGAGTGGGTCAATGCACAGTTGTTCCTGTCTTCAGACATGGAGTAGCCTGTCTGAAGGAAAGCCCCAGCTAATGCTTGCATTGGAGTCTGAAACAGTGAGTGACAGGAATTCAGCATGTCTTTCTGCAGTTGCGGGAGGTGGCCAGGACTTATTTAATTTCACTGGGAAGTTTTCACTCTTAGACATGTTTACTGGTGAGGCTGAAGGGACTGTGTTATCAGCCTTGCTACCTGCTGAGAGTTGAATGATCTTGTGCAAAGATAATACAGAGCTATCTAGGTTCAAATTAGTAATAAAGGAAATACAGTATAGGAACATGACTCCTCAGTGATAAGACTACAGATTTCATTGGAGAGAGACAGTGCAAACTTTGGCATCTCATCAGTTTTGCTACTAGAGGGTTCCCAGGGGAATCAGGTGAACCCAGTGTTCATGTCCTGCTGCAGGGCTCGAAACCTGTACCCTCAGAAGTGAGTGCAAAACTCAGTAATAAATTCTACTCTAACAAATTATTTTCTATCTTACTGTCTCCAAGGCCATGCTTGCCCCAGGTGCATATTTGTCAGACAAGAATGCATGACAAGTGTTCATAAATTTTTCCTCATCTATCTTCAGACTAATCTATGGTGTATCACAAAATTACTTGTTAGTAACTGATTAAACATGTTCAACCTTTCACACTTCTGTTTTATGCTTGCTCAGATGTGTGGCACACCCATATCACACAGCTGACCTTTGGTCAGTTCACAATATAACATCCCTGAGATGTTATACACATCGTAAGAAAGCTATCTCCTTATCAGACAATGCTTCCAAATAGCTTACATGTGCTGTTTAAATATTAAATCTGGCAGAAGGTCACCACCAGCTGTCCATTAACCAAGACAGAAGCTGGCACCTGTGCAGCTGCCACACCTGCCTTCTTTGTTTAGAGATGAACAAGGCTGTGCACCTTCACCCCAGCTCTGGGAGGCAATGTTTAAAAACATAATAAAAATTTATTAGAAAGAGGAGATAATAGCAAGTCTTATTTGAGTAACTGTCATTGAAAGACCTGCAGTAAACCTTGAGGAAGGCCTGTGGAGGTTGAATCTAATGTTGCTCAATATGATGCTCACCAGGAATTTTCCTGAGCTGCAGACCAGGCTGGCACGGTACTGTACAGTACTTCCAGCTTGGCATCAGATGCAAATCTCTCAGGAGTCCTTTTGGTCTGTCCCATTAGCCCTAAAAATAACATGACGGTCCTCTACCCTGTAAGGCTTAACACTCCCACATCAAAATATTTCAACCATGCCCCAGAAAGTACCAGTTAAATCACCAAGATGTTAACATCACACACTTTACTTCAGTGGCAGGTTTCCCAGCAGGTTTCCTGCTGCATAGAGTGAGTTGCATTTCAGCCCTCCTGAATTTAGGCTTAGAGCTATACTCCTCTGCAACCCTGCTTTGTCTTACAGGTGTCTTGCCTCTATCCTTCTTTTTAGGCTGAAGCCTGGCTCACTTAAAAATTAACATACCTGGGAAAGATCTAAGAGCTCTCTGTTTCCTTTCAGTGAACACAACGGTCCCTAGGGCTGCTACCACCAGCTCCTTCTAACAGCTCTCTGTGTCCACTGTCGTACTTTTCTTCCCAGCTCTCTGATTTCTTTGAGACAGCAAGTCCCAAGGAGGGAGTTGAAGCACCACAGTGGCAAGCACTGCACCCACTGTGAAATGTCCTGAACACAAATACATAGAGGAGCAAAGAAAACTTGACAGATACCCTCAAAGTTTTTACATCCATTCATT